TGTGTGTGTGTGTGTGTGTGTGTGTGTGTGTGTGCGCATCCCCGACCTTTTCCGTCCCGATTCCCCCCCGTGTTGCTCCACTGTCTCGATCCCGATCCTGTCTCCTTTTCTCTCTCGTGTGAGCGAGGGGGGGTTGCGCACGGGAGCGGGAGGAGGAGAAGGAGGAGGACAGGAATATGGTCGCTTATCGGGAGGAGGAGCGGGGTGAAGAGAGGTGAGATGACGAACCGGAGGAGGAGAGGAGGAGGGGCGGGATGACGAGCGGGACGAGGGAAAGGAGGACAGGAAGACAGAAAACTGTGGCCGTGTATCTTTCCATGTTCCAATGAGCGGGAGGAGGGGTGGGATAACGAGCAGGAGGAGGGGTGGGATAACGAAGGGGAGGGGAGGAGGATGTCTTATGTACTGATGGTTTTGACGAAGATCCTGTGAAACTTTTAGCTCATTATTTAGAAGTTGTTTGGCATGTTTACACACATGTGGGACTCATTCAAAGAGATCGTAAAACGCGAGGGCCGAAGGTGCGTCTTGAAGGCTGCTCTCCGATCGCCGCCGGATCTTCGCAGTGAGTATCTATTCAGTCCAAAAACTTTTGATCTTGAATTCGTGATAACAAGGCGCCGCTTATACACTGAGCTTCGTGGGTGGGACGGCGAGTGGGAGGAGGGGAAGGAGGAGGACGGGGAGGACAACGAAAAAGCACCAGTACATGGCCACAGCCAAGTTGAGAGTCACATTGAGCCTCTCCTAAGATTTAGGAGGCTCGCGCGCCATCAATCAAATAAATCGACCGCAGGCGGCCTCCGAAAGGGGCCCGCGGCCAATGCGCCTGGCATGTACTGGTGGTTTAAGAAGGTGATTCAGGTGAAGGAAAAAGCTCTGTGCTACTCGCCATGACACTATGCGATCGATGCTGGAGGTGGCATTCTGCAAACTATAATCTTTAGACTGTCTCTTCGATACTGACAGGAAGAGTGTATTTTCGGTTTTCAGGCCTGCTTTTTGGGGCTGGCTACACGTAGTATTTTGGACGGTGTCCGTTCTTTCTCTTTGGCCATGTCGGAGGTTCCTCTTGGGATAACGTGGGGAGGCGCGAAGTGAATGTATAATTAATAATTATTTAATATAATATTTTTATAATATTTATAATTTTATATGTGTTTTTTTCTCAACTTTTTGGACTTGCTGGTCAAACAGGAACTGGACTGATCCCCTCGGAACAAAAAGGAGTCGCCGTGAACATAAGGTCCTCGATTTGAAAGGGGGAAAAAACTTTACAAAAGTTAAAAAACAGTTGTGGCAATAGCCATAGGAAAATCCATACCCAGTGTCACTCCCCCATTACCCAGTGTTACTCCCCCATCACCGCTAACAACCCCCCCGGCCCTCCCCCCCGTCCAACTCACCCACCTCATCCGCACCCGACAATTCCATTCCCTCCCCCCCCCGTATCCACAAGAGACTTGATTTTCTTTTCAAGGCGAAGAACTAGAATGGGGTCTGCGGACTGTCTTTACCTCTTGGAGGCCAATAGCTGTTCGATGCAGCCCTGGCCCCAATATGCTCACTGAATTTGGGTACTCGGAGGCCAGCTCGTCATGAATGGTAGTAGATAGTGTGGCAGTGACATGGACGTATTGTACAGATTCCTGCAGAGCCTGCTTTACGCTTGACATCTCTTCCCAGAAGCTGTCCTCGTCAAACAAGATGTCTGCTTCGTCAACCACAACACTGCATTGAATTGCACATGAACACACAGACCAAGTGCAGCCAGCATATACACATCAATTCCAAAATCCCTTTCACCAATCCAAACCCTGTCTCAACATGCCTGAGGCAAAGCTCCCCAAAGATGAAACCCATCTCTCCATTATCAGAAATTAATAATTTGTGCAGTTGCCGTATTCACGCCGAAGTAAGTCCTTTCGTTCACCCTCCCGGACACAGTTGCGTCCAGTAAACTGCGAACACATGCACATGTTTGCACGCACATTGCACACACACACACACACACACACACACACACACACACACACACACACACACACACACACACACACACA